TGATCCTTTTGGTCCTTTTGGTCCACGTCGACCTGGTGCACCAGGCGCTCCCTGTGAAACATTCACGAAACCGTTAATAAATCCGTCGAGATTTKCACTTAAGAAGGTTATTGTCTTTACCTGAAGTCCGGGGATTCCAGGTGGTCCAGTGGGTCCCTGTGGTCCGCGCTCTCCCTGTAATACAATAATTATTTTTATCAATACTTATAACAATATTATTCATTCTGAAGTTTTCTCTTTCAAATTAATAGTTTTACAGTTGTGCAAGTGTTTATCACAGGAAGTACATTCTTACCCCCTGCGTTTCACGAGGACTATCTGAAAATACATGTATCTGATGAATAGCTTATATCTTACCGGTGTTCCGTCATTTCCAGTTGCTCCACGTTCCCCCTGTAATCCTGATGCTCCCTGTTGAAAACCATTGACACATAAAAAAAATGTGAAGACATACATTAGGCGATATAAAAACTCTTTACAGTACCAATTATGTAATATAACGGAACAATAATAAAAAACCAACAATTTTCTTACCGCTAGACCAGGGGGTCCAATCTCACCAACTGCTCCAGGTTGTCCCTGTAAACAGAAATGGATATGAATTATACATATATACTTGTATTAACTCTATATAGCAGGTAGATGGAACACATATTATATTATATAATACATATTATATTATATAACATGATGGAACACATATTATTCGAGTATTCATACCCTCGAACCAGGCTTTCCGTCAGAGCCCCTCTCTCCTCGTGGTCCCTGAAATATATAACATTCAATGAGAAATTAGACAAGCATTTTATAATATGATAACACACTTTGTAAATGTTTATTTACACCTTAACTAAATTAGCAACTCATACATGAGAAGATTCATACGTGCAAAAAATTCATTTTTGCCGACGTTTTCACGAAACAGCACTTACAATCTCTCCAGTTTTACCAATTGATCCAGGTGGACCTTGCGCTCCAACTGCTCCCTACAATCCAAATCACGTAGATAAAAGTTAACTCAAGTTATATGATTAAGAGAATACAAAACAGTTGGTCTACCTGGGCTCCTTGTGGACCGATTGCTCCACGTTCTCCACGTTCTCCTGGTGTTCCCTAGAATGCAAAAMATWCAATAATAACATCACATAGTGTATATTTCATCATCGATTAAGAGTGGATAAAGACTCACATCTTTTCCAGCAATTCCAGGTAGTCCACGGCTGCCAGCTTGTCCAGTTTCGCCCTACGAAACATTTCATGAGTGCAACTGAAAACATTTGACTTACATCCACATCGGAGCGGTTTGCAAATGATCACTAAATTAACGATATTTGATTACGTGTCTTCGTTTGAAAAATGCATATCAAAATGTGAAATAACAACAAAGCGAAAAAAAGTTTACCTTAGGTCCCTCTGGGCCTGGCGGTCCTTGGTCACCATCTTTTCCAGGTTCGCCCTATAGATTGAAATGTTTTAAATGTGCTTCAATATTGATATCTTCCACTATTAAGATGAATTTTAACTCCTTACGGCTGATCCTTTGGCTCCAGAGATACCGGTTGGTCCTGGGTTACCTGGTGCTCCCTATAACAAATGTAGAAAAGCTTCATTGTAACTCGCATCAAAAATTGAAGCCGGGACAATTTTGCTCGTTTACTCTATCAGCCTAGTATATCCTTTAGATAGCACAATTTTTGGATATCGCTATAACGATTATCGCAATGTAATTTGTTTTTTTTTTCTGCTTGAAATACGTGCAAGAAACTGTGTATGACTCGATGCTGAATAATGAGAAAAAACGTGATAATATAACAGTATAGAATAAGCTAAGTGATTGAAATGAGAACATAACAGAATGATTATCAAATAATATTAACATAGTTTTTACCTGTGCACCGGGTGCACCGGGCTTGCCATCAGTACCATCATCACCCTATAAAACAAATWAACACCTCTTAATACCCTGATTATATAACGCACCTTGATATATGAATTATCCTACAGCAAGACTGTTATGTGAAGTACCCTAGTGCATGAAGCAGTTTTTAATACTTACAGGGGAACCCATCTTGCCCTCTTGTCCAGGTTGACCAGATTGTCCGGATGGTCCCTAGAAGCATATATCATCAGCATCATCATCATCGTTGTTCAGGTGAAAATGATGTTGTTCTTACCCTTGCTCCYTGACGTCCTGGTTCTCCGTTCTTTCCAGCTGCTCCCTACAAGGWACATATAAATTCAAATKTTAATTTGATAAATTGAGCCCTTGAYGATAACTRATGCTTATGGATTGAGCATTGTGCTAGYCAAACGCCRAGGAACCTCAAACAACTCAATTTCATGCATGCTTGCTACTCTGCTACACACTTGAACACACATGAAACTACTTCAATTTTTCTATCCAAATCTACTCATAATGTTTAATGATACCTTCTTCAGCAGGAAGTACAAACAAGTAACAATTTACCTTATCACCCTTTGCACCGGGGTAGCCAGCGCTACCAACTGAACCTTGTGATCCCTGGTGATAATAATAGAATGTTATAATGTGAACTATCATGGTAAAATCATCTGTGATAAAACGTTATTGAAGTTAGAGGCGTATCAACATACCTTTCGACCAGGTGCTCCGTCAGCTCCAGGGAACCCTCGTGGACCTTGGTGTCCCTACATACGAAATTTAATGTTAACATACTGAGGAATGCTTGTAATCTGCTTTATTAAACGCCAAACTATTGTAGCAGAGTTCTCAGTTCTCTACTGATTCCAGACCTTGTACATGAATAATTTGCGTTGCTTAGTTAGYTCTCTTCCTTGAAACGAGAGCTTTTCTCGAAATTTCTGATTATTGTAAAGAGTGTTAGAAGTAAACAACTTACTCGTCGTCCAGTCTCTCCTACTTTACCAGGTGGTCCAGTTTGTCCCATTTTACCCTGCAAATAGAAGATTCTACTTAGATCAAATACAGTCTAAACTAACGATATTTACCCTACAAATAGACCTTGTAACAAACAGACTTAATGGCTGTCTTTTGTCGATCATCACACCTGTTTGTAAACCAATTTTTGACTTTTCCGTTTCAAGGGTGATAGTGTTATTAGCACCTATCCTGCTTGCTTCTAAACTAATTAATTGGACGGCAAATRTAGTCTTCCTCTCAGGACCTCAGCCGTTTAGTCGCACRGCGTCATGCTGTACGGGGAGACTAAGACAGTTTCAAATCAAGCTGGATAACCGTTRCACTTAAGTTGATAAATAAGGTCAATAAGCCCAGTTCACKTACTTAAAAATACAAATACTTACTCTCTTGCCGCTTGGTCCAGGTACACCGATGGGTCCAGAGGGTCCAACCCCTCCCTAATATAGAGGAAAAYGTGTGTTACGTATCATACATTTATTACTGCACGAATTCGGCAAAAATACTGATGCAAGTGTGTCAGTATACGKAAATAAAAATGTCGTCCGATATCTGACAGCTGGACTGGCCCGCACGCTCTAAAGAGAATTTTTCCAGGTCGGCCTGTTGATTATTTGCAACCATAAATTTACAACATTCAAAAAGAGAAAGAATCCATACATACTTGTGAGCCTTTTTCGCCCTTATGTCCAGAAGGTCCCGGTTTACCAGGTTGCCCCTAAATATTCCATACAGAGAAAACAAATACTAATAACGGATCGTATATAAAAAGACAAAAGCAAAAGATCTTACCCTGTCACCAGTTACTCCAGGAGCACCAGGGTTACCGGGAACACCCTAAGAATAATCAAAGATAAATATTTCATAATTACAGTGGAACCTCTATTAAGTGACCTCCTATTTAACGGCCAGGCCTCCATTAAGCGGTCACCGAACAGTTTCCCGAAACTCGGCTGTCATATATATATTCTGTAAACTTGACCTCTATTAAACGGTCAACCTCTATTTTACGGTGACTTGAATTTTACCCGGACTGACCGCTTAATAGAGGTTTAACTATATAATGTTTTTTTTTTAATAATACGAATTGTTGCTGTCTTCTTTCCTCGTTCACTGTACGATATTATAAGACGTTTTTACTTATGAATTAGTAGTTTAACTTACCGGTGCACCTATGGATCCTCGAATACCAGGAACTCCTGATGCTCCAGCGGGTCCCTAGCGAGAAAGCAACACTCGTATAGAATCAACAAGATATTTCTGGAAAATCATTTAAACGAACTCTTCTMGGASAGTAGAAATATGGAAAAAAGCATAAGTTAGAAAAAGGGAAAAAAACAAGACAATACGAATAACATWAAAAAAAACATCATTTCATTACCATGTTTCCTTTATCACCATTTATTCCAGGTTCTCCATCTGTACCAGGACGACCAGATTGACCCTTTGATCCCTTTGGACCTTGTGGACCAACATCTCCTACCTCACCCTGTGGACCTCTGGCTCCTGTAGGTCCTTGATTTCCTTTTAAACCTGGGGTTCCAGGAGTACCAGGAGCGCCTGCAGGTCCTCGCGGACCCTTTTGAAAGAAGAAATATGGTTATAACTTTTTATATAACTCATATTTAAAACGATAAACATTAAGGTAAACATAAAACACTTAAGTATTATTCCATTCTCTGAATGTTATGTGTTGTACTTACAGCAGGACCTTGCCTTCCCGGTGCGCCAGTAGGGCCACGAATACCATCTGGGCCACGAGTTCCAGTCTTGCCGTCAGGACCTTGGGAACCAGCTCTTCCCTGGAATATTCATGCAGAAACGGGAAAAGTAAGATATAGCAAAACTTGAGAAAAGCTATAGATCATGACAAAACTTACAGGTGCACCATCGAAACCAGGTTGTCCTGTGTTTCCAGACGAGCCCTATTRAATAGAAGTTGGCGTAAGTGAATAGGGGGAAGTGGTAGGGGGCTGGGAAAGAGAAAGGAGAAGGAGGAGGAAGAAACATATTAACCGAATACTTACGCGCTCTCCYGTTGTACCTTGATCTCCTTTCTTTCCTTTCTCGCCGGAAATTCCCTATAGAATACACTAAATGTTARCATCTTCCTTTTCGTCGAAGTGGTAAATGCCAGGATACTTACTCGATCTCCTTTGAAGCCAACTTCTCCTGGAATTCCAGGAATACCTGCAGACCCCTAACGAGTAATAGTCAAATGATTTTATTAAAATATTTTTTTTATATTCTTCTATGTTGAAGTTATTAATTATTTTTACATCCTTGAGTTAATATTGTGTAAACTTACAGGAGGTCCTTGTTCACCACTTTCTCCTTTCAGTCCAGTTTCACCATCGATACCCTGATTCACGATAATAGTTATGACACGTTACATAATGATGATTAACGTTCAAATGGGAACAGAGTCATCAACCAATCAAAACTCGYGTTAAATCCCACAATTTCATAAATTGCTTACAGCTATTTCAGAAAACTTTGAATACTGTTTTCCAAGACCGAAATGCATTTTTTGCAATTAAACTCAACGTTAGCATGCAGCGTTACAAAATGACAATTCTAAAACTTAATTGCTTTCCATAGAAGTTCTTGACTGAAAAGAGCTGTTTAAGTCACTCTGGCATCACAAAAACCTCTTTTCAACGGCGATACAACGACCAACAATGCATTTCGGTCTTGGAATATACTATTTTCCGTATTCAACGTTTTCTGAAATGGATGTATATAATATAGTCATGTAAACCACTGACAATTCATACTTAAGTGCTTCTTACATCAACACCATTGGATCCTGGAGTTCCAGGTGGTCCAGGCACACCGGGTCTTCCCTATTGAAAAAAAAGGAGGAAAATAAGCTTCATCCAGCACATCGGTTAATCCAGTACAACTTACACTTGGTCCCGGGGTTCCTCGGTTTCCTGGTTGACCTCGGAGACCTCGAGAGCCCTAGAAGGAAAACATTAGCATTGGTATTAGCTAATAACATAAATACAATAACAGAACAGGCGCATTGACTTACATCGTTACCRCGTCGTCCAGGAAGACCAGGTGGACCAGTTGGTCCCTAAAAATCAGAATTGGTCAGCTGACAAAGTAAATAGTTTTGATTGGCGTGGTCGAGTACTTACCGGAGTACCAGGTTCTCCCTTAATTAAGCTACCAGCAGCATCATTTGGATCAGGTCCTTTTATACCACCCTAGATATCAKTAAACTCTATATTACACACTGAATATCCGATTATAAGACAAAAATAAAAACAAACGCAAGTACATATAGTTGTTTACACTTTTTTCTTCTCATTTTCTTCGATATTTTCAAGTTTAAATGTGATTTGTATTTGATAGTAGATCTAAACCTTACCGCGGCAGCGCCACCTGGTAAACCTTGTGGTCCAGGTGGACCAACAGGTCCCGCGTCTCCGGGTTCTCCTTGTTGTCCGACTGGTCCCTRTCATCAACAAAATAATAATAATAATAMTTTAAGGGGATCGTCACATGGAAATAAGCCGAAACCATCACCGACGACTGACGAAATGATTCTCACATTCAGCTGAGACATGTGCAATATTGCTTGTAACTACACAATAACATAATAATGAAAATAAAWCACACAAAACACAGCTATACAGAAACCTAAGATGGTTATAAAATCTAAATGAATATTTAAGTATGGGATAGAGAAACCTACTGTGAATCCTGGAGGACCCTCTTTGCCGGCATCTCCTGGCGCACCTCTGTTACCCTGTTAGTCAACACTATCTATTAGTATTATCACGATATTATTAATATATTTCCTGTGATTGACCAACCATATAACACAGCAAAGCAACARCGGCTACTTACTGGGTCTCCTGGTGCACCATTGGCCCCTGGTTGTCCTTTCTACGATCAACAAAGTAAAATAACAATAAACAAGATAACATTAATAGTATTACTAATGGTAAAAATATAGTACTTACCACAGGGGCTAATGTGGGCAGTGGATCTATCAAAGAATAATATATATGGTAAATAAAGATCAAAAGTAAAACAGTAGATACAGTAATATTCAACTGAAAAATGCGCATTTTCTTCGTTTTCAACTATACGTTATGGAATGCAAAGCGTAGCGYAACGCGACAAACAAAATTATCGAAAAATACGATTTTAAGGCAGTTGGGTAGCATACAGATTCARCACATGAGTCTACACTTAGTGGTTTTTCTCCATTTTCAAGCACCGGCCACTCTAGACACCTTTCCATATATCCGCTCAAAATTGCATCCGTTTACGCTTGACCAAGGGATGATTTTGCACGATCCATTTTGTAAATAACCAAACAAGCAGAAGCAAGCAACCTTTGGCGATAGTAAGGAAACAAATAAAAAAATGCGCAAATTCGATTCAATCAACAACCAATAATGCAAGAGTAAACAAATCACAAGCACAAGGAAATTTAATTTTGTAACTATAGAATAAAATAATGTAAAATAATGAAAGTGATTTATCATTATATAATGAATTTATATAAGTCAACATTTACTTGCTTTATTTATGTTTCCTTTCTACAGTTCTTTGTCTATTTTTATTTTTCTTAGTTACATGTGCGGGTGTATATCTTAAAATATCTCTGATCTGCTCGCAGGCTTATATAGTTTACGCCAATGCATATGAATCTGTATATCTCGATCTGATCCGTGAACAACTATGATTGTAATTACTTTAAATGAAAACGATGAATATTCGTCTTTATTTATGGATATTTAATGAGAAACGCGAATGTTGACGTAAAAGAAGACGAACATTTAACATTTGACCATGCGTAGAAAGTAAGGCTGTCTTGGAGGTCTAGTACGCAGGATCTKGTAGGTTTGCTCTATTAGTTTTTTAGTTTGTTTGTTTTGTTTTATGTGTTTGTTCTGATTTGTTTTTCTAATGTTCCTTATTTCTATCAAACAATAAAATATCATCGATCTATTAAACATTTAAGTCAAATATAAATGGAATTCTTGCCAGTTGGAATTGGACCAATGGGACGTTTCACGCATTTATACCGGCATCCATCGTAACAGCATAAAGGGAAATCGCTGTTACAATCACTGTTGACGATACACTCGCTCTTTACCATGTTTTTACACTCTGGAGGCTTCACGAGAGGGCATCCTAAAAAAAGATCAAAATCACTACGTTATTGATTACTCCAATAAACCTTTTCCATGCATGTTAAATTTTTACAGCAGAGTATTTAATCGTTACATTATAATATTACAGTACACKTTTATAGTACACTTTTCTTGCCAGGATAATACTTCTTGATAGAAAAAGTATTATGGTGTGGAAATGCAGTGAAATATCAGAARTATATCACTTAATTTAATACTACTTAGTATAACATATTTTTACTATAGCGATTCCATCACGAGGCGAGGCAAGCATTAGATGCTGTTAGTTTTATCATTATGTTCATATATGTCGGTAGAAGTAGCTGTGTGAGGCCCAGGAACAACGCTTTTGTCTTCAATCAAGAGAAATCAAGATTATTTTTGTCTCATAACATTGCTACAAAATTGGGAWAAATTTGTGAATTGTACTGATTTTGAAGAAGCTAATGAAGCGATAACAACAAACCATRTTTTTTTGCAATGTTTGCAAGAGAGTGGAAAAGCTTGCATTAGATTTGCGATTATGCATTATCAAGCTATCAAATAGACTACTGCATTCCTTACCTTTTTTAAGCTGTCGTGGAAAAAGGGAATCTTGATAAGATCTTGTTCCAAGTACTTGTTCCCAGACCTCCACGAGATTATTATGATGTTAGTGTCGTCTGATTAGTTAAGTCTGGGAATAAAACTTCTTGTGGTGGATAACGTTAGATCCCTTGCTGTGGGTAACGTACGCATTCCACTCTTGTCACGCTCTATCCAAGGACGAGCTCGTCACACCATACAAATGTATGGCGTGATTTCGGTTGTATGTGATGAGAAAGTTTTTTCTTATAATAGATATAGCTAATCAGTATTTCGTTTCAGTCTAGAGGAAGTAAAACGTTGATATGTATGTTTTTCTGCTATATTTAGTATACAATTTTTTAAGATTAAAGAAGCTATAAATGAGTGACAGTCATTACTTATAACATTACATTGTTCTGAAAGATACTCGGGTCGTAACACACGAGTACCGAGAGCGMTTCATACTGGACAGATTTAGGAGACGGAGAGAGAGATCTACTTCGAATAACACTAGTTGGACTAGTTGAAGATTTCTCGCGTCACGTTCCTCATACGTTCAGGTTACAACTCCGGGATCACGCGCGCACGTCACGCGCACGATCGACATCAACCGGCGTAGTCACTGAACTCAGACCAATATCGATTTTTAACGCATAACACTAGTTTTCAGTATGTCTCGCGTTTTGAATATGAGTAGATTATTTGCAAGATTTTCCGCGWACACATCATGAATATAATATTCTTGCTTTTTATAGATTATCTCTAGAGAGATTTTGTATCTATAATTTGATTAATAATGGCAGGATATAATTCCTTGTGAATCTTTTAAATTCACATTAACAGTGTTATCCGGTTATTTCGTAATTAATAGCGTTTTTGCGTTACATTCTGGATTGTAAACTGTTGCTACTGATATCAGATTACGTCCGGTCTCAAGAAAAATACAATTCCCTTTGTGCACATACACAAAAACTTTTCTTCAGAAATAGAATATCGAGCACATGAATATACGTGAACCTGAGTAATATTCATATTTTAGAAAAGCAATAATATAAATATAAAAACCGTTTCCTTGTGAAACCATTTCTTAATTCTCTTATTAAAGAAACTTTTCTTGAAAGAACAGCTTTATATTCATCTAAACCTTAATTTTTTTGGTCCCTTTATATCCATGAAAGACTGGAAATTTGTCCTAAAACCTAGCTATAATTTTTTAGGCATATAGTCAATGATTAACCAATCGCTAAGACTCGACCCAAACAATGGACGCTTTGTTGGACCAAAACCGCAGAAATCTTTAGTAATTTCTGCAGTGTTCTAATGAAATAGTAAAATCCTTAATGTATGAATATGTGTATCTATAATAATTCAAAACAGGTAGACGTATATTTAAACTTTATGAGGAATAACTAATAATTCAAGAAAGCATTCTCTAAACGTGTCATACGTGGCGGACGGAGCAGTAGAACCGAAACCATCTCTACGTGAATTGCAAGTTGCAAATCCCAAAGTTATGGTTATTGCAAGAAAAAATATAAGCAGATAGTATGATTGCAGAATAATAGAGAGTAGTTTAAGATTGAGAAATGCGTAGCACTGTAAAACGATCCATGACRGTCATTWAAGTCGCAAATCTGAACTCGCATTCTCCATGAAGTATCTCGGMAAGACGAATTCCCCCAATTAMTATACTTTCTCTTTGTAATAACCATTTATGAATAGTGTTGATTTTTGCGCTGCTATATAATAGAATTGATTGTAAGGTTGAATGAAAGCTATGGCACTCACCTACTTGTCCATTGGCTGCAACAATAAATAATCCTAAAAGCGTAAGACTTCTAAGAAGAGCCATCTTGCTAGGGAATGCCTCGTCTAGACTCCGTCCCTGGTGGAAATGCTCTTTCAAAGCACTACTCACCGATAATCAGGACCGAATCGCCGACTGCCTCTCTGCAAAGTACGAGATTGCTTGCTCGGTAATGCGGTCCCGCTAGCGAGGCGCGGCCAGACAGCTCTATTAGACTATCGTAGGCAATGATATTCAAGAAGTGCAATTCGATACTACAGTCATTGTATTGCGTGAAGTATGAATGTGATGTATTCAGACGACAGACTAGACTTTTCGATGATTCAATAGACTTTATACAAGCTTTTCTATAGTGACTACCGCAATGAAAATTTGCCTTGCAAGCTGGTCAGCTTAATGCACTGCAAGACTAAGCCCTCCATACTACATACATTGCACAAAGTTATCAATAGTCAAATTGTTAATCTAGCTAACAATGGGCTTTAGGGGCCTCTAGTGCCGATGTGAGGAATATCGCAAAGACAAAAGTAAAATGCCACATTTATACTATTKAATATTTGAGAAACTGATCTGTCGTTTATTTTCTTTTTAAGGGTGTTTTTAGTGTATTTTCTCGTGTTATGACTGACGTTACATACTGTGAATAGCCATTCAATGCTCAAGGAATTTGTCCAGTCGGATTGGATAACAGCTCAACACGTCCCTCACAAGGCTGGCGTTGTAGAGCCTTGCACTGATGGATATAGTTACCTTTTTTGGAGGTCAAAAAGGTCGCCTACATTCGAGTCACACTTTGCATGCATTGGGAATTTCGGTTGTTTTGGCGTAAAGACCCTGACCGGTACAAAGCATCAAAGGCTAGTCCCACTGGCTAAATTCTGACTATTTTGCACAGTTTACAGGCGCGTAGCGTGGACTTTCCCGCGATACATATTTTAGATTTGGGGGTCTACACTGGAAAAAAATCGCGAGCTTTAAAGATTGTAAATTTGATGTAAATATGATGTACGTGGCCAAAATTCTGTAAATTTATTGGAAATCATATACATCAAATTTACGGATTTTGGACACTTACATCATATTTACATCAAATTAACAACCTTTAAAGCGCGCGATTTTTTCCAGTGCTAACGACTGCCAAAGTTGGGTGTATTAAGGGGTTCTAGGGGTCCTCCTCCAGGAAGTTTTGAAATAATAACTCTTGGAAATGCGATTGCCAGCATTTTCCAGCATATAAAAGGCATCAGTTTCCGAAAAATCTTAATATTTCCTTGCTGACTAGTACGCASGTGCGTATATGTGTAAAGGACGCTACGCGCCTGAGTATTACAACGTAATGGTGGGGTATTCGGACAGAATAGCTGCCAATTGTTAGAGACTGTCAATTTTTTCCCCCATATTTTTTGAAGTATAATTAAACCAACGCTATATAGCAACACATTCATGATCATTTATGTTATTTTTAAATTATTTTTCATATGTTAGATCATTTTCAGCTAAGTAAGAGTTAATTTGTATTAAAGCAATGCCGGTGGAGAACAGTTGACGCAAAATCGAAAATCTCAATASCAACTTAACTTGTACCCGATTTGAAATATTACAACAAACAGCAAAACTAACAAAAACAATCAAACAAACAAGAAAATAACAGTTTTTGATCAAAAAATTGATTCCTTACCTCAGTCAATGAAGGATCATGAGTGTATAACTTTCGTTTTACCGTCAGCTATTTTATAAATAACTAAACCAGTTTTCACCCGAAAGAAAGTTTATGCAAAAATTGTATGTAACAATTTGTTGCCAATCGTATACATTCAGTCYACAAGAACCGTTAAGTAAAATGGTCACCCATCAACGTTGCTTGATTTTTAATCTTTTTATTTCATAGCTTAGGAATAATTTAATCAGATTAGACTGATATCCGCGGTACTTTAATAACCTACATAATTCATAAAAGTCAATCTTTTATGAATCTATTTATATATTACACAAATGAAAATAAATTATACTAAATTTGCTCCACTATTTTACATGTAATAACATTGCTGTTGCGGTCTTGTCTTGCGGCCACAACACTATCCCGAGGGGAACAAGACATGAGCAAATAAGCAAAAGCTGGTTCATCACTTGACATAAGCATGACAATATGTTATGTTGCATCAGCTAATGCTCAACAAAAGYCGAAACAGCCAAACATCCTTTTCTTATGTATCTCCTTCTGTGGTCCCCTTTTGTCTGTTTTTGTCTTTGCGCGAACCAGCCCTATAACTTATTATATACCATTTCACCACATTTTCTCGCCACTGTTCAATTAAAACAAGTTATTCCTTTGAGAAACTACTCATTGGATTCATTTTTTTAATACATTTAATAACATTGCTCCTAATGTAAATTCTGCATGGTTGAGCTAAAACAGTCCATTTCCCGCCAGCGTTTAGTTAGACTGTAATCGTGGCTCATCTCTACCMATATATGGATTGCGTCAGTTKTTATAGCCCTTGCCCTCGTTCAGACAGGTTGTCTGAAAACAAGTTTGGAACATTGCCCTTTCTTTCTTTTTCCCTTTCATGTGTATTTAGATGGTTTCTTATACAGTCATAAGTCCTCGCTCTTTCAAGTATGTAAATTCTTACATATCGAACTGGGATCGGCTTATTGAATTATTCTACCACTACAACATGCATATTGGCATTTAGAGAGTATTCAAATGTCTCTTCCACCGTTTGCAGGTATGGTCAAAGCTGTGCGTAAACCATTGCTCTTCRAGACGTTGAAAACGTTCTTGGCTGAGAAATAATGGCTTTCCTCTCCTAAAATAAGGAAACAACTGTTATCCACAGGTCGCCAATATTTTTGTGCACAACATATTCACAAGGTTTCATTTATCCAGGGAGATGCTACCTAAGTATTGGTTACCAAGAATAGCGTAAAACAAATTTAGTCAATTCACCTTAGATCTCGATCTTCTTCACCAAAACTATCAAGGTACACTGACCCCCATATGCAGACACGGTCAGCACGGATGATRATGGTGACAGATGATAGGATGATGAGGAATACTCCTGTTCCTGCACCACATTCAACTGCATGCTAACGGAAAAAGATAAATGAATGAATRAATACAGAATAAATGAAATGAATCACCATGTTTTACACAACGTGGTGCAACACTTAAAWTGGCAATCTTTACTGACCTGAACACATTCATAACGACGTACATCGTCTTGTGTTGTCATACAACATGTGCCTTGTAAACAAACAAACTTGCCACAYACCAAACAAATAGCAGGATCGTCGGGTTTGCTATCACACTTCGTACATTTCTGCTTCCTGTAGAGCTGTATTAAGCTGTGAAATAAGTGTAGTATTAAGTAAATGTTTCTACACCAAATGATACAAATACACAGCATAACTGACAATGTTTGAAATAAATATTGAATATTGTGCAAAAAGTGCTCCCACTTAGTGTTTGTTGTACATGGAAATGCGGTGCATGTTGTGATAWTAATATAGCAACGTAAAATGCAAAYTGACAGCAAATAGCAACAAATTGACGTRTTTAAAAAGTATAGCTCACGTGTCGTAACGTTCTGGAAGACGAATCAGTGAAGGKGGAGGCCACTGGTACGTGACAGGTAGAAACTCCTCACTCTAAAATAAACAATTTAAATAAACGTACATATAAATTTACATAAATTAGATATTATAAGCTGAAATAGGATGAAGACATACACTCAGTTAACTCATTTACTAAATTACTCTGCAAGCCACTGCCATAACACTGCCATGCTGATAACAGAGTAGTCAGAAGATGAATTATAATGTAAAATAAACACACCTAAAGGAACTGAACAAAGCGTGGTGCTTCTGACAAGTCATAACGCAGGCTGAACTGAATGTGAACGTCGTGAGGCACTACARAGCAGACACTTCCAACAGCCACACACTTAAAAATTGCAAACATACAGACAGACAGACAGACAGTTGAAATGAACAAACATTATATTTACCTTGTCGACCATGTCGTATCGTCTAGTCAAAGCTGATAGCGAATCACACCATTTSCGTATAATAGCAAGTGGTCTCTCATTTTGCTGCCATCTCAAGCAATCAGCACAGGAAAATGCCTCTCTTGAGGGTAGAGCGTCCGAGTACATTCGGAGTGAGGCTGCGTAGGCTTGGAATTCTTGGTCAGCAATCTAAACGCAACATATATTACATAACATACCACAACCATTATTTGTCCATATTTTGAAACCTTTATTGGACCATACTGGACCACATCAACTGCATCCCCTCCCTGCCCCCTCCCCCCTTATATATTAAGACGCTTTCTAATTACCTCGACTTCGGGCAGTTTGGTATCAAAACAAAGAGTAGAGATCAAACCACAGAGCTTAAGGTAAGGTAAACAGAAATCTCGAATTGACTGTTCAACCATGTGAGGTGACCAAACTGACTGGGATATCTGAAAATAAAAAAAAAAAACACGAATCGACATCAAATTGATAAGAAAAATGCACAYACTTCTCTTAAGATCTCGTAAAAAGAGTGAAAGGAGTGTGGCTGAAAAAAGTAACAAACATCAAACACTTCTCACCCCAAGTAGCTGATTGTCCTCYTTAAATAAGTTACTAGATGAGAGAGTCTGGGTTACAAACCCCAGCAAAAGATCCACGTTCAGTGGTTTCTGCGTCTTTTCCTAAACAATACAAGAATGACGTTAGTTAACAAATGAAAATTTCATTTAAATAGCGGTTTATTCATTTCAAYATGAATACTTACGTGCATTAAAGCTTTTTTACCAGTTTCTTGCCAAGAGAGTCTCTCATCGCCAACAAACTTACAACAGGAATGAACCAAACCCTATAACAAATTGATGATTTGTAGTTACAGAAATAATAATTGATCAAAGGCAAAAGAAACTTACTTGTGTAAAAACTAGGTTGTAAACTACTTGCACAAGACACTGGAAATCATCTTATAAAAAAAAGATATATGATACTGACATTAATAAAAATGTAACTGGAATGTATCTAGATTGAAGAAAGCACGCCCTGATGGCCTCAATAAATTATTAATAATGTATTACTTACAATTATTTCGGCTAAACAATTATTATGACAATAAGAAGGCTGTATATACTTACACAATGATATCGCAGTTGGCCAAGACAACATCATTTGTATCAATAAAGATGGGCCATCTCTTAGAAGGACGGGAATATTGGTCACTCTATCGAATATAGAAATGAATGGATGAATGGATACTAACGAATAAACGAAAGGAAAAATCAAAAGAAAATGACCGAGAGAATGAATTGAATGGATGATTGATTGAACTAAAGAATAAATAAAAGAATGTCAAATGAATGAGCAAATTATAACATAAATAAATTATGCTAGAGGCGTCACTTACTTGCTTGCAGACTTTGAACTATCCTGAGGGATTTCAATATTGGTGAGCTCAGACCAGACATTTGTCATAGAGCTCGTAATATTTTGACAATGGAATTGTAGTGCACGAAACATAGACCCTACAATACGGTCGGTATAACACAGTGTTAAGCGACCTTTACTCAATAAATCACGTATTGTTTGTTAACTTTTCAACTTAGAAAAAGTAAACTACAAACTCCAACGTTTTCTTATGAGTATTTTAATGGACAATTACACTTGGAAAATTTTAGTTTACTTTTTCAAGAGTTCTACGTCTTTACTGCACTATTAACACTTACCAAAACAAGATTTTCGTGGTGCAGAAAGCTTCCTCGCTTTTCTGTCAACATGCTCAAGTTCAAGATTTGCTCTGTTCAAATGAAAAATAGACGAAGTTTGTAAAAGAGCAAGAGAACTGCAAAATTTGTGTCAATTCCTTTAAATACCTCATGGTACGRTGAATAAGAGAAAAAAGKTTGTCGGATTTAAATTCATCAGTAGATGCATCTAACATAGACGCAATTCCTGTTAGTGTCTTGATGGAAGCACCAAGTACGCTGGGGTTGAGGGCACTTTTGTTCAACTTGGTCATGCACTAAAAAACAAACAAACTACTTTTAGAAGAATGAGCACGATAACATCAAATTAATACTGAAACACACACATTGGAATAGAAAATGTACATGTACTATCACAAAAACAAAGCAGGATAGACTTCGACAGACGTTCACTTTCAAAACCGGAAGTACAAATACAGTACACACTATAGGGGGGAGGGGAGTATAATACCATGCTAAATTCCAATACAGTATAGGCCTTGTTCACATTCATGCGTTTTCATAGCATTTTATAGCATCAAGGGAGCGGGGGAATGAAACAATACGAAAATGATATGAAAACGCATCGGCATCACTGGAAAAAATCGCGCGCCATAAAGGTTTTAAATTTGATGGAAATATGATGTAAGTGTCCAAAATGATGTAAATTTGATGRAAATKATTTACATCAAATTTACATCATTTTGGACACTTACATCATATATACATCAAATTTACAACCTTTTAAGCGTGCGATTTTTTCCAGTGCATGTACAATGTTTTACCGACCTAATATCATTACTTATTTGCGGGCTTATTTCATTGACTACAATGTACTTATTAATAGTATCTTTACATCTCTTACCTTTTGACTATATTTTCGTAGTACTTCCTCGTGAAGATTAAGACATTCGGCGTAACCCAAAGGCCTCTGGAARTATCACAAACACTACTATTAACATTGTACTTAACACTGTTCTGATTTTGAGACAAATAAGTTCAATATCAATGTAGTGGTTTTGCATAATAGTCATGATTAGTTTACCTGGTTTTCTCTTGTWGCTGATATTCTAGAAGGTATTTCAGGAAGGACGCAATTACCCAGTTGTCTACATAATGGACAAGTGAAGTCTCCATTTCTGGGATTGAACGAGTGCATCTGGTGTAATTGTGCCGCTTCTTCCTCCTAAACAGAAAATTGCACCGGCTTTATGGCTGAACTCTCGTGTGCTTTTCTACACATTTGTGTTCTATGTGAACCAAAGAAAGTAAGTGCGAACGATTCTAGTGATTAAGATTGTCAATACCATTGATGTCATGATTCAGTTGTAAAGACATACAACAACAAAGTCAATTGCATATATATTAGCCTGTGTACATCCGTTTCTCACCCCGAAACGGATGTACACAGGCTACATATATATCACATTTTTAAATTCTTTGCAATCGTCACAATAAAGTCGCAAAAATACATTAAAATGTCAATAATATAAACATAGCTTGCTGAAGCATGAACCATTTAGAAGCGAAACCACTTTTTTTTTGCAAAGACCAGGAAAAATTCGGCAAAAATTCTTGTATATTTCCCTGACCAAAATCAAAATTCCCGGACCATTCCCTGACCTTGAAAAAAAAAATCAAATTTCACTGACTTTTCCCTGACCCTGGGAACCCTGATTGACTGTATAAATATTTGCACAAGCTAAGTTGATGAAGACATAAATTAATCATCATCACTACATTAATCATTATCATCACCACAATGAGATACCTACCTGAAGAGAGTGTAAATATGATTGTTGACAATCCACATGAAGRTAGTGCCCGCACGTTTGAACATGAATACCACCATTACAACCAGACGCTATTGCTGATAGACTGTCATCCTAAAGTTATATAAAATACAATATAGAAATGAATGGAATATCAAATAACAATAACTAAAATGTACTAACATAAATGGGAAATGGATGAATGAATAAAAATGAATGAATGAATGAATGAACGAATGAACATTTGAAATGAAAACTGGAAGAACTGAATTTCATTTCATACAAACCTTATTGAAGAGTTTTAAAAATACATTAAGCCTAGTTTTCGTGAAGCTACCACAGTTAAGTAGAGGAACGGTGTCACTTCCTGATGTTTGCTGCAATCTCAGTGATCGATGCTTTAGCACTGCATATTAACAAAAAATTCATAATTTAGATAAAAGCCAAATAAACCTGTTTCATTCGGAGAAAAATAATAGAAACTGAATAACTGAATAAGTACCTTTCTAAGAACTATAACTTTCTCATTGTTTCATATAAGATTTTGATAACAGATAATATGAGACATAACAAAGATTAAGGTGTTTCGATCGTAATGATTCTGAACATTTTATTACAATCTCTGCTATGCGTTTCGAGAAAATTAACTTTGAAGAAAAATGAAGGTGTTTTTATTTTGCACCGTTTATCCAAATGGCTYCGMTTTTYGGCAAATTAATTTATCAACAAGAATTATCGATAATCACTGTTACTTCTGTGGAAATTTGAATGCAATGAAATCGAAATTTGCGACGTAGTTGGAGTTTAAAAATACGCGCGAAGCGCTATTTATTACGATCGAAACACCTTAACTCACCATCACTTGGTTGTAATAAAGCCACAAGACCAACAGGTCGTTCCTCTGTGGAAGGCGATGACTCTCCACATATCACACATTCATATGAAGTTTCCTGGACATCAGGTACAGTGGGTGGAGCATCAACTTCCATACTCATATCCAGCGCATCTAATGTACAAGAAAATTACTTGGTTCACTTGTAATTTGTGTCACAAATCCCACCAAAATAGGTGTTGTACAAATACAGGATATATAGTTATTCCCGTGATTCTCTGACCTGGATCTTTCTTAAGAGTCTGTTCCATAAATGACCTTTGCTTAGAAGCAAATTCAGCTAAAAGTTTCTGCTGTCTCTCTCGCGCACGTTGTCGTCTAAAAACAATTGAATAGAGACAGTTATTCTCGTTCTTCTGTAATAAATGTCCCATAAAACTACATGTAAACTCGCTACTAGACAAAGACACAATCTAAACAACATGTAATCAAGAATTGAACAAATAARTACACAGAAAACAAATACGAACCTCAGTGAGGCTTTAGCTGCACGGCTGTCATCATCACCAGGGCTGTTTGTACTTTGATTAGCTTGTGGACTGCTGTCTATAGCAGACAGGAGAGATAAATTCTCAACGCTATGCTTACTAGCCAACTCTAGTACTTTGTTGATGTAGTACACACATGTACCAAATGATGGACTGAAAGAAAAAAACAAGCAAATTAGGTAATCTAATAAGTATCAATTTATTATTTGCTAATTAATTCTTATTAATAATTTCACATTAGAATCAAGTACCAGTACATACTTAGAAGAAGAGCTAGATGAGCTCTGTGCACTTGTCTTTATCTTCAACAGTAAGCTTAGAATACTTTCATTGATTGGTGTAGGTTGAACTGATGGCATCTTTTGCCTTCCTTCACCAGAAGTCCGTGAAGTAGACTGGTGACTAGATTGTGAGCTAGGGATGACATCAGGGATAGTGTCTTCCATATTTAGATGAATGTTGATGGCTAGTTCCAGGTTTCCTTGGCATGTGTATAAAAGACTGCGTGCTACCGCTAGTTCACAGAAAAACAAACATTAGTCACATCAGTATGAGAACTGTCTTCCTTACTGGGAAAAGGAAAATATTGAATGGGTACAACATTTTACTGATAAGCAAAACAAGTTTGCTTTTYCCCTTTTTTTGCAGTGTATTATGTGAAGCAAACTTACATTCTGGAGCCTCTGTGATYGCCATGAATTCCTGAACCAAACTTTGAAAATCAGACGACTCATCAGTTTTCCCAGAAGCTGAGGGTTTGAGACTTGACGTCATTGAAGAATTACCAGCTACAATATTGAGAAATACAAAATACGTAACACCATTGTATTAAATACTGTGAAATTATTTTGAGTTTGTTCATAGTGTTATTCTTCTGTAGCTACCATGATGCACTTGTCTCTGCAAAAGTTTACCTATCATTTCCAATACCTACATTCAAAGGATATTTKRAWCAGGAGCAACACTTTTTACTTCTACATGGTTGTATTATATGCCTARGAATTTCTGAGTCYCTGGCTATGCTAAAACAGCTTTCAGCAAGATTCCCATAATGCAKYAGTTTAGCCAAAAACATTATGACACACCTATTTCTTTGTCACTTGTATCCATGGCAACAGTGCAATCAGTTACCAAGCCAACAGTGTGACGTATGTTTTCTATCATGGAGAGTGAGTTAAAATCAAGTTCAGTGATATCATGTGGCCAGCCTGGATTTGGTGAACGCACCTGAAATATGAAACAAMATTCATTATTGCTCATGTGTTTCATTTTCTTCCAATTCCCTTTATTCGATTCTATTTCATTTTTTCAATTTCTTATCCTATAACTTCACATAAGGAGTATCTGTTCAAACAGGGAAAAAGTGCAGTCATTGCTGTTTCAAAATCAATATAAATTATACAATTSACATCCTATATGTAACTTTACCAAACCAATGATACATACTGCACTGCAATTATTCATGGAAATTTTTATTCTTTCTGTAATTGAAGAATTTTCCTTTAACATCATTTTTTTTAGAATTAAAGCTTTGCATACCCTGAATAACCAGTCATGGTATTTTATCAAATACATCAACAGCATTGACAACTCCATTGGCTGAAATAAAGAATTTACYATTCAATCACAGTGACTATGGTTCCTAAGCCTATGGATATAAACACTTTGCATTTGCTGAACAGAAAGAAAAAGGATTCTAAGGGCATTTTGACTCAATTCARAAAATAATGGTCATGCAGAATACTCAGAATATGTGAAGGTCTTTGTTGACAGTGTTCTTTATTTATGTTGAATAGTTCAATGGTCATAATTACAACTGTTTCATTAAAACACCAGAACACAGTTAATTTGAACTTAAAACATTATACTCCTATATACCTGTGTATCATCGCTCACCAACACCAAGTTTTTRGTTGGAATTTTATATCTTTCTGAAACACTAAACAGAAAAGAAAATAATGATAAACAGTCCAAAAAGGAAATMAAATTTTCAGTGGAAAAACAAAAATAAATCACAAACAGCAACAACAAAAAATTACTTTAATTGACATAAACAGGAAAAAAATAACAGAAATTACTATTAAATGAGAAAACTTCAATGTTAATTTTATCCTTATCCTACCTTAAAAGATGCCTGGTAAGTTTTTTCACCAATCTTTGCCGATGAGGAGGTAATAGTTCCAGTAGGAACTGAATGTACTGTAGTTGGGCAACTTTTTCATGAGTGTTGCTTCTGTTAGCTAACAATATAAAAAGGTAAACAAGCTATCAGCGAAATGCACAGAAACACAATCATTACAATAGYCATAGGTACCAAATATTGATTAACTTACTCAAGGCGCTATTCAGTACTCTAGCCATAAAATGCAAGAATGGGTCAAAAAGAGGTGGTTCCATTATTTGATGGATAGAGCAGGCCATGACGACACATACTTCATGACAAGAGAAATGTTGTGGATCAATAGTAGAGCTTGGATCTAAAAGTAAAACACATCAAAAATGTGTTAATTTCTCTCATGAAAAAGGCAGGAATCAAAGTAAAATGCCCTGGCATGAATGCTACCATGAATTAAATCATGACAAACTCATCAAAAACAGAAACAATACAAAAAGCTATAGAAATACATGACAGGATACATAGTTCAAGATGTGCTTCAGTAGATATTTCACCTTTTTGTAACTTGCTCACAAGATCTGCATTAATRTGTCGCAGGTCTTCAGTTTGATGCAAACCTTTGACATGCTTGCCTTTAAGGTAAAGTGAATAAATGTAAGCAATCCAGACGCAGAAAGTGTCATTTAAAAGTGTCTTATTTAGACAATGTACTGGATAGACTAATGAGCTGATAMAAGTAGATGCAAGCGCATGGAGATCTGTTAATAATCATCTCACTACACAACAATCATACCATAAATTTCTAAATGATCAATACATCTCATTGCAATCTGACATCCACGGTCTTCCTCTTCTTTATTTTGCTTCACCATGGGCTGTAAACCAAGCAGTGCTCATTTACACTCAATTCAAATCACAACAAGGTATCCTACTAAGATATCTTACCTGCACTTTAGGAAGTGATTTACTATTTTCCAGTGCTAAACTTGTCAAATGCACAGCTAAATATTGCACAGCATCTGGAATTGAGCTGCCATCCAAAGCTGCCTGAAATTTATCAGTTTTATAAAATAATGTATCAGTTTATAAAATAATGTTAGCACAACATTAATACTAGTAATTGCTTCATACAATATCAACTTCATTAATAACAGTAACCCAAATGTATGACATACCTGATGAAAAATGTAGTACAGCATCCCATGCATGGTTTTGCAATTCAAAAGGCGCAAAATACCCTCAAATTGTTTGGGCAAAGGCTTTAGAGATTTTAAAGGAGGCCAAAGGGTGTTACTGCTTTGAGTACTTTTATTGACACTGCAAAATAAAACAAAACKAATAAATCAAGAGCGAATGAAGGCTTAGTAATCATGAACCATTATGGATATTTATGCGGTAATTGATATTTTGTGATATATCAAGAGCAACTTACAATGTAGAATATCGACTCATTGCTGATTGGATGTCCTGGCGTTGCACTACACGGTGAAATACRTGAACTGGGTCGAATTCACTCTCCCACACTTTAGCTGGAATATTTYCAAAAGATTAATTATTATTTCAGGCATGGCTTTGTACTTCTGTCATAATGATGTATATAAAATCACCACAAATAGTAAATTTAAGGACCACAGTTGAATAATACCTTTAGGAGTATATTTTCCTTGTTGCATCCARCCACTTTCAAAGCCTGGTGCTTTGTAATCAGCTAGCTAAAAATTAATCATTGGCAAGACTGCTTTTAAATGGCTAAGCTGTTGTTACTCACTGAATCAATTATTTTGGATAACATGCATGGTTTTTTTTTATGGGGAGGCACACAGGACTAGGTGCTTAAGAAAAGGGTGGCCACCACAAAGAAGGTCACAAATTTTCATCATATAGGGTTACTGTACATATCAACTTGTACAACGAAACTTAAGGAGATGTGCACTCCCCTGACCCCACAGCCTGACCCAACAGCCTGACCCCTCAGCCTGACCCCACAGTGCGTCACCCAAGGACTTTCCCCTAAATARAAGTCATTATTATAAGAATGTCATCAATAACAAGCACCTCATTTAATGTCTTCTCAAAATCTTGTATCTTGTGAGACTGACCAGGTTTATCAGGAATGTTATTAAAGTCAAGGGAAAAACTCTTAATAGATCAAATGTACAAAAACCTGTCAACCAAACACCAAACAGATTGCACTTCTTGGCMATCATCCATCCAAGAGCAACATACATGCAAACACTGTTTAGCTGTTGMTTTATAATTAAGCAACAGCTAAACAGCAGTTATGTTGCTCTTGGATGGATGATGGCCATGCAGCACAATCTGTTTGGTGTTTGSTTACAAGTTTATTGCTTAAAGTCTGGTGAGGATGTTGATGACTGSCAATCTGGGCATGAAGGTATTGGCTACATACATAGGGCTGCTGTTTTTTAAGAGTTGACATTATTTATATATACTGTAAGGATATAAGTTCAACAAGCTGACTATGAGTCTTATCACCAATGCACAATTGAGTAACCATTTCTTGACGAATAACATCTTGTTTACTTTGTCCTGGTAGATGATAAAAATAATTACAGTTTTTTAACTGCTGAAATAGTGCCACATACAACCTGTACCTATCTATTTGCATCAAGTGTATAATAACTTGTGAAATCAAACTGGCATGATGGGACATGACATCTTAAGCTACATGTATAAAAAAACAAATGTTGGCAGTACTAATTAAATCTAAATAAGGCTAGTAGATTATTRTATTACTTACCTAGGTAAAGCCTGGAGCTCAGAAGAGTGAGTATAAGATTTAAGGCACCTTTAACCATGTGAATATCTGTATCACTATCAAAGCAAGCAGGTGTCGGCACAGCAAGAGGACCAAATTCAAACCAGTGTTTAATTCCAAATCTCTCCAARATGGCATTTAGAAAGTCATCAGGATCAAGATTAGCAGCACAGACCTTGAGTATAAATAAAAATATCTTTACGTATTAAAACAATTGTTTTATTTCRTTGAATGGCAATGTTGATGSTGAAAACTTTGGTTTGACCATCTTTCAACATTGTTGAACACTATTCTACAGTGTTCAACAAAATAAGATTGATGTTGAAACAAATTATGATGAAAGTGATTGCAATGGTCTTAATTTTATATTAATATAAATGATGATGACAGAGAATGAAGTGATGATGGTGATGATCTGATGGGAATAATGACCTTAACAATACATGTTTACATTACTTCTTATCACCACATTTACCTGTAGCAAGAAAATGTCCAGGTCTACCATGGAGTTACAGAAATGGCATTCAACATAAAGCCTCACTTGACTACGAATCTGGTTRCCATTTCTCACCCATCGCCCAGCATTGATTTCACACACAGCTGCCTGTTGATATTATATATACAACAATATTATAGGGATATCTTAATCTTGTTCCTAAAGTATGGATGCTACTGTACAATATGTAAAATTCACAACATCTACCTTCATATAACCCACCTGAATCTGCAGCAAGTGTTGACTCATCTGTGCAAGCAAGGTTTGAGATATATCAACTGGCATCTGAAATTGAGTAATGGCCTATAAAAGAGAACATTGCTAAACATCAGTTGATGAAGAAATATGGTTAATAATCAGAATATAAAAGCTTACCAAGCTAAGGAATCCTGATAAATACCGGTGCAAAGGAAGATGAAAGGTCACTTCACCTCTTTTTGGCTGAAAGCATTTATAATCAATGAATTGTTAATTGTGAACATGCATCAACATATACATGTACAGTAATACAAAAGAAAGTTAGTCATAATTGATTTTTACCATGACATCAGAGCCATTTTGATACCAACTTTCCAAGGCATTAACCACACTTTTGATCACATTCTTTACACAAGTTTCTGAATTCTGAAACAAAGGAATGAAGAAAATTGAAAAACACTAATTGTAACCAAAAAGGTAATACTGTATGGAATGAAAAGATTAAATGAATCTCCTGTGCTTTCTCATCTTTTACACACTAATGAATACTGTCATAAAAGAATACTTGAGAGATTAACTGAACTGATAAAGATAAGATGATTAAAAAGACGAGATGTAATAATTGCCTGGAGAATATGGCAACAACAACAACAACGACAAAATGAAATAATAAAAAAATGAAATATAAAAATAAATAAACGAATAAAATAAAAAAAAAAATAATAAAAAACACATGGCAAAAAGAGATGGAGAAACAAGAAAAACAACATACCAAAATAGTGCAAGCATTTATCATGCTCCATAATGGCGAGGAAGCAGCTTCAAGCTCAACAGAAAATGATGCACAATAGACAGTTGGCTCAAACTCTACATGAGACATCAGTTGCCTTTGACTTATATTCATACCTGGCAAGAAAAGAGTTCAAAACCTAATATTTTCAACACCCTCCTGTTAAATTGTGATCTAACACACCAGTCAACATATAGCCAAGCCTGTTGCACAATAATCAGCATGAGTTATTGCATTTTGTATTTTTGGAATAGCAACTTCTTGTATTTTTTTTAAGAAAACCACAAAAACAGATTACTACTCCAGAACTCATAAAAAAGTGTAAGGACTTCATCTCCCACTATACTCTCTTGCCAAAAAATTGCATAACTGAACATTGTCTCTTATAATTTAGATTTCCTTATACCTGTGAGGTACTGGATAAATTTAACCCATTGCAGTACCAACTCTCGGTCATTCATAAAAGTCTCTGCTATGCTTTTATGCGACAACACATTGATGAAATCAGTCACAATAGGCCAGTAACAATGATCCTTCAAAGCTCTATTTTCACAGTTGACTACAAGCTGAGACTGAGAGGAGATTTCTTGACCTATAAAACAAACAACAAGGGCAAAACAATTAGCCAAAATAGGGATTCACTTTTAATAAATTAATAAATGAAATCACCTCTTTTGAATGGCTTCAGAGCAGGTTTTATCATATCATGTAGTACCCTAACCATAACACGCAGGAAGTTTTGTTCTTTTACCATCTTTTCTGCTAAATGCTTGTTGCTGTATAGCTGGACACTAACATGAACGACTCTGCTCGCAAGCTGCTCGACACTTGGCCCAATATCAGTTGTAGACACTAATATCTTTGCTATTTTTTGATAATTCTGACAAAATACTCTAGTAAAGGATTCCTACAAAGAAAGCAATTACACTGAAAAAATTCTCATACATAAAAGTAATTCCATTATAAAAGTTAGTAATGTACCATTTACAAGGGGAACGTTAGTTATATATCATAGCAACATGTGCAAAACAAGAGGATTGCTCTCATGAAAGCTAAAACATTTTGTTTTGCCATCGAGACAGAGTTAATTAAATCAATTCTTAGATTAATATTATCGTAATGAGTCTAGAGAATTTAAAAAATACCAACTGTGAGAACAAGTTCAAAAATCTAGTTGTGGTACATGCAAAATGAATGTGTATAAGCAATACATGTGAGCATCCTTATTTAATCAAAGCACTCTCAATTTTATGCTCTATATTAACAATTACATGTATTCTATCAATTTTTTAAGAAACTACATGTATAAACTGATAATTATGTACATATTTTAGCATACCTTATACTGTTGACATGGAAGTAAGTGGAGTAAAAATGTCACTATTTTTTGTGGAAATTCCAGTTTAGTTACAAAATCCATCATACATTCTAGATATGTTTTGTTATCATCCTGTAATTCCTGATCATCACAATCCATTGMAAAACTATCTTCTTGCTCAACTAAATCAGAATTTCTTGAATGAGCATTTYTTGTAGAAGTCATTGATGTTTTTCTGACAGCAGGTCTGTCTTTAGYAACAGYCTCTATGTCAGTTTTCTTCATCAGTAAACACTCAGCGACAACATTTTTCATGGTATCRGTTTCACAAACATTCATTAAGAACTCTGCMAGTTCGTTAGCATCTGTCATAACAAGTGAAGTTGATCCTGAAGTAATGAAATGAAATTTGATTGTATTTGAAACTTGAATYTAGAATCATTTCCATTGCAAAAGGATTAGCTGAGGTGATATTGGCAAGTATAGACTAATCATTCAAAYCAGATGCTGTTGTCTCAAAGCTGACTGCAGTTGATTAATGATGGTCTATTGCTCATTCATCCTTCATSTGGATTTATCATTTGACCAATGCAATTGAGTCTAGAGGTAGGTCACTTTAATAAATATAACTAGCAATAAAATCCATAAATCATATCAACTTAAAAATTGAATTAAAAATAACTGGCACACAAACTTATTACAAGTCACAACTTTTCTTTGGATTTTTCACCAATGAATTCAAATGATGGTAAGACAAGGAATGGAACTTTTTAATTTTCAATRTACACGCACCTAATGCATCTCTGTCCACTTGGTCCAATTGCACATAAAGTCTAACACAAAGCTGTGGTATCACAATTCTGGCCATGTCAAAGAGTTCATCTGGAGGTTGTTTCTTAGGTACATCATCAACTTTAGTACCATGTCTTGAACAGAATCTATTATATAAAATAAACCTTTTAGGGTTGTTTTCACTAGCASTAGAAGCACAGGCATAAGATTCCAATTGCTTTGTTCTTCTCAATGTTTGCTTCTACAGGAGCCAGTTGTACAAAGGGTGGATAAAGTTATCCATTTATTTTGTATGGTTTTTATCAATTATTTAATGGAGATAATGATATTGTAGCCTTTTACAACTGACCCCAGGTGTTTACCATCTTAATGTTCACAGGGCCATAAGATGACTTTAAGCTTATAAATGCTTCTGTAAGTAGGGAAAACTAATCATATGGGGGAACTTGGTTATACTTTGTAAAAGCAAAACATGCACAGTCTGCAGTGCCATATACCTCGACCATATAAATGGCAAAATCTACTTCCTTGCATTTTTCTCAATTTTTTTTTTTTTTTTTTTGAAAATATTTTAGAGTCTCAGCTGATTTACGTAAGTTTATAAAAAAATGTCAACTGATGCGTGGATGAAAATTTACGACATAAAATAAGTTAACTTGTATTWAAGTAAATGTATCATGGAAAACAAAGTTTAACATTTTAGCATAACATCTAAAAATTAAAAGCAAAGAGATAGCAAAATACACAGCAACCTTTAATAAGCAAATTAAAATGCAAATCAAAACAAACTTCTTAGCTTAGCTTTATAGAGATTTGAAGCAACAAAAGCTTATGGTTTCATATAAACAAAAGCCGTACTAGTCATAATCATTATTGAAAGATATTTTCAGATAAAAGAAAGTTTCAAAAACCAGAAATAGCCGTACCCTTCCTTTGACATGACACTTTCGTCACCGCAATCGCATGCACCACCAGCCTGGCTTTTGAACATGTTGAAATCATGACCTTCATGGTTACCAGCATGAAAACAGTCGGCACAGATGGACATACATGGAGAAATCCCGCAATCTCTACACCTATAAGCCACGAAATTTTTGTTCCATACAAGTCCACAGATTGTAGGATGGTCGTACGATTTCAMAGTATTTTTAAATTCCTCTGGAGTCTTCCCTCCTGCCAACAACCACCAACACCAGCTTTTTTTCTGTTCATCAAAGCTTTCTTTGACCTTCAGTAAACCATTGAGAAAAGCATTTATTTCCCTCTTTCCCTTTTTGGTTTGACAATGAGCCTTAAAGCTGGCTGCTGTGCTTTGTTTTACACGAATACTAGACTCGGCCATCATCCCCYTTCGCGACCATCTTTGATAATATTTTGTTATTTTACTAAAGCGCATGCGTCGAAGACGCCACACAGGAACTCCATACTTGTATCAGATTTTCCATTTGTCTCATATCAGTAAGGTATTCCACAAGTTTTTACCTTTATGGGAAAACGCAAGCAGGCAACGTATTCTCCAGTTTCAAAAAGGCCACCTAAAAGACCCCGGAGATCCGGTAGTGGCACATCAAAGGAGAAAATGTCTTCTGGAGTTGCACAATTGCTTCAAAAAGTTCAACAAAGTTTTGTTAAAAATTCAGATGCAAAGAATGCAATTGCAATGAAGAAATACATGAGGGATCAGTTTGAATTCTTGGGTATCAAATCACCAGTTAGAAAGTCKATAGGCAAAGAATATCTCAAAGTGAAATTCAGTCCAACAGAAATGAGAGAGTTGGTAAAATCACTTTGGGAATTACCGGAACGTGAATATCAAYACTTTGGGCTGGACTATCTTGATAAAAATGTTAAGKTGTTTGGAGAGTCGTCAAAAGATTTAGAAATAAACTTTGAKTTCATAGAGCATCTGGTAACAAGTAAATCATGGTGGGATACAGTTGATGCTATTGCAAGCCACYTTGTAGGCTTTCTTGTCAAAAAACATCCAGGTAATTAATACAAGGGGGTGGGGGGTGGGGGGGGGGAAGGTGACTAAGCTGAAAGGGTGGGGCTGGAAAGTGGAAAGGCTATGAAAATATTGAACAGTATTGAAGACGATATATAATGGGAATATTATCATCATCATCATCATAACTCTTTTGCACCAGTAGGTGCATAAGGCCTTCACCCCCTCTTTGCTATGTTGAGCATAGGGTTAACAGCCCTGCCTCGTAAAAATTCTTATGTTACTGAAACCGAAATCCAAGCTTACCAAACTGTAACTAGGAGTGCTGCTTTTGAAGCTAATAGCATGACGTCAATGGTGCAAAGCCGAAAGGAAACTTGTAGACCGATGGGCTCAAGAGTAACACCCAAAAACTATATAATGATTGGATGCTGGGAATACTATCGCTGCACAGAAAATCAATAAATTGAGAGATTGTTTATTGTTGTTTATTACTGATAAAATGATAAGTATTTTCATGAATATTTTTTTTTAGTTGAAGGGAAGCCCGTTATGGAAAAATGGATTAACCATGATAACATGTGGATGAGACGTACTGCCTTGCTGCATCAGCTTCTTTACAAGCACGACACCGATGAAGACATGCTCTACAGATTTTGCATTTTAAGAGCTGATGAAAAAGAGTTCTTCATTCAGAAAGCTATGGGTTGGGCACTGCGGCAGTATGCGCATACTAACCCCACTAGTGCTAAATCATTTTTGCTGGCAAATAAAAAATTGTTGAGCAAATTGACATWCAGGGAAGCAGCTAAGCACCTAGATATTTAGAATAGCATTATTTTGTGAATGTATAGTAAACTGTGTTTGGTTAAAAATCAAATATATCATTACTGAATACAAGCGTAAAATATTATATGAATTGTAAATAAAAGGGTAAGCTAGATTAAGATAAATTCAGGTTCAGCTTGAGTGATGTTCTTTTGTTTACTTTTTCATTTTTCACGTGTCCAAATATACCAGCCATATCTTTGCTACTTTCTGGTAAAACTTTACAAAAATGTGCCAGTTTGCTTTAGAAGAATTTTTTTTTTTCTGAACCTTCCGCTTTAATATCTCCCACTTCCAGAAATGATATTTTAAAAAGAAATTACAATTCATGATAAAAAATGACAAAACGTGACAGTTTTCTATTAGAAGGAATTTTTTTTTCTGAACCTTCCGCAATATCTCCCACTTCCAGAAGTGATATTCTGATATTCACTTTCAGAAGTGATATTAAAAAGAGCGTCTTTGCGATCTATTCAGAAAGGTGGTACAATGTTTTGGAGTGAAACGGCAACAGTCTAGTAGAATTTGTTCAAATTTAATGTACGGCCAAAAAAACATAATATTAAAAAAGAAAAGAAGAAAAGAAAAAGAGAAGCGTCAGATGAATTCAAAATGGCCGCCAAATTATCGGCTCTGCGGTGCCTGAAGACAAGAAACTTGGAAAGGAAAAGCGTTACGGACCTAGAAYCCTTGCAATTCGAAACGATCGGAAACCATACAATTCGACTAAGTTTTGCTTTCTTTCGATGCAAAACGAGTCAATTGACAAGCGGCAAAAAACAAATGGACCATCGAAATTTTTTCACAATATTCAAAATAATAATAAAAATGTTACAAAACCGATAATATCAGAAAAGAAAAAGGTAAAAGAAAAAGAAGAAAGAAAAAAAAAAGACATGCAAGAAGGTGGCCGTGAGGTCACCCGTCCCATGTTAGGCAGATAATCAGCAGGGGAGGAAATAGATGGACCCCAAGCTCTGATGTCTACCCCTGTGAATTCATCTGACGCTTCTCGCTAGATTTCCTGTCCCGATTTAGCGCACATTCACCTCCTTTATTTTCAAAATAACAAAGGGATCCTGAACGCTTGAAAAACTACTAGTATTGGATGATGACATGTTAAGTACTATAAAAAAGATGGAATTAGTAACTAGGTCTTTGTCTGTGACAGGGAGGACATGAAATTATTATTTTCATTTCCTCCTGRTAGATTTTCAAAAAGAAATACAATTGGATATGTAATTATCAAACACCAATTTTATTGAAAGATTTACTCATGTAGGCAATGCCATGTTCACAAAAATATCTCAAAGTTAAAATAATGATGTAATGATTCAAGGAAAATATCACTCAATCAAGACATTGATACAASCTTCAGCAACACAAAAGAATTTAGGAACATTTCACAGATGATATGAACTCTTATTAACAAGTTTCTTTGAAGTACTGTATACRTCAGATTTATTTTTCTTCATAGCTTGGCCTCTCTGGCATTTTGCTGTAATCTGTTTGTGAGTAGAGCTGTGAACAAAAGAAAAAGAGTCTATTAGTGAATGATAGCAMTATTTATATCATAAAAAAAGTTTGCATTAGATTATAACCAGGGATGCCAACCCCCGAACTTTTCAAATCTTGAGAACGAAAATGATGACGTCATACCGGAAATGACGTTTCATAACATTATCGATGACATCATTGCATTTATCAAATTTCGTTATAACTAGTGATTTGACTGGATGTATCTTAACCAATCATATTATAGATTGTATTGTGCAATTGAAAATGGACGCGGATGGCGTGCAGTGTTATTGTTTTCAGAAGACTGGGATTTTTGTATTTTTTCAGAACTAAAATGATATGCAAGGTAATTTGAGTTTTAATAGATGAAAAGAGATATTCCAAAAAAACTGATATATGAATCGTCATTATCCGGGAGATTTAGCGGTAAAATCTTGAGACCGGGAGAAATGGTCGAAAATCTTGAGACTCCCGGATTATCCGGGAGAGTTGGCATCCCTGTTATAACACAAGGTGAAGTCGGGCAGATGTTGTTACAAAAGTTGAAATATTCACTATTGTTCTACACTGTAAATATCATTGTTAGATTGAAATAATTCCCTGGAAAGTCAATTAATGGTTTTATAGGTGGTAGATATGTGAAGGCCCTATGTGCCATGAAGCACACGTACGATAGGTAATAAAGAAACTGTAAACGAACAAACAGTCAGTGTAAAGAAACAATCAGTGTAAAGCATACTTTTTTACGGTGTTAAATTTATCCTTTTATACAACTGTTTCTAAAGAACAGTATAATGRAAATACTTACTCTACGTTGTTCATTGTGTTTCACTCTGTTCCATGGTTCAGGATTTCCTTTTTTATCAAATCTGCACACACAAATATTACAATCATTTAATGTACAGAAATTAGTCTTTACAACAAGTGTGTGAAAAAACATTCYYGTTGTGAATGSGAAAGCCTGAAAATTGAATCATTAACRATGTGGATAGAACTGATAAAATGAAWACAGTACATACGATGCTTCTGGGCTTAACAATGCTGTTCGGCCAATAAACCAGGCACAACCAATACATCCAACACTGACACAAGCAAATAATGGTATCAACTAGAATAGAAGGTGTTAAAGTATTATCAATCAAGAGGTAGATATATTTATGTATCATATATATATATATATTCATATACTTGCTTGTCATTTTTAACTAAAGGTTAAGCCTAAGTTATCATCAATCCCCACTCCTACAAATTCAGCACAGCCACCCCCTAAAATGARGTTTGCACAACTTCCATTACCTTCACTTTTAAAATCTAATACATTTGTTTGAATGAGTATAAAAAAAATAACTATGTGCAGTTGTGATCCACAAATATACCCCATCAAGGGAACACAATTTCAAAAATATAAATCGTGGACAATCGCACGTTCAGGCCATTGGCGAAAAGTAGCACTGAAACTCTTCAAAATAAAGGACAAAAATGAAAAGCAAGAAACTGTTTACCTCTGGAAACCTTCTTAAATACGCTACAACCATGATGATAGAGAATTATTTCGAAATTATTGCACAAAAACAGTACAACTTCAAATCCGGCTTCCAAGATGGCGGCGAAGGAAGACTTGACGTCACTAGACCTAGTCTCTTACGTCCCAGTACAATCGTTAGCTACCAGTCATTAGAAAAACATGGCGGCTGTTTTGCAAAGAAGTTTGCGTTTCAGTTTGTGTCAAGGGACTCGACTACAGGTAAAATTTTGTTGCTATTTTAAATAAAGTTTTTGAGACTTGTAAAGTATTTTTTTCTTTTTAATTATTGAATATAAAATCATGTTTATAGTTGCTCTTGATTTAGATGTATTTCCCACACATGCATAACTTCAAAATGATATTTAAGAAKTTTGACCTTTTCTCCTATTTATTCTTGATTCTAAGGTTGCTCCAAGAGTTGCCACACCATTCCCTTTAGATCCCTCCAAGATATTTGGATCAATATGTGTCRTCCCTCATAGAACCAAGATCAGCAAATCCTCTCCATTCGGAAAGAGACCAAACCCAAGAGCTGCACAACGAGAAAACCTTATTAAAAAGAATCCAAACATRAAGGATATGGTTAGCAAAAATAAACGTGGCCAGCCCCAAGTAATTATTGATAGTGCAGGTTTGTGCAATATTACTAAATTGGGCTTCCTGTGTCAGAACTGTGCAGGATCTACCATGGAGAGTACCACTGGAACAGGCTGCATTATGTATGCACCCTCAATGGAGAGAAGGATCTGTCATATGACTCCATATATAGATGTATATATACAAGGGCACTGAAMTACATACAGAAGGCCAGGTCACTAATSTACATAGTGTGWACAGAAGCAATYTCGYACCCAGAGCCCGCACTTTTGCCATCCAGCGGATGTCAATGCATGAGAGACCCTGGAGGAATCGACTGGATTTGCAAYRCTTTTCCGTCACAAATTATGCAAATTAGGTCAGTTTTGTTTTCTGCCTTTAGAGCATTAAAATGASAAAAAAAGAAGAAGGSTCAGCAAACAACTTAGTTTAGAAATGATATTAACACCTTTTTAAAATTAAAAATTTGTGAAAACATGTGTGGTTATGTGAAAAAAGGATGATTTTCTTGACTAAACAGGTGAGCACGCGCTGGCGACTTGAAAAACCTACTTCAGAACAATGCACGCTCGCGTCATTTTCAACCAATCAGAAATCGAGAAAAAGTTGATTCCTCCAGAATCTCTCATGCATTGACATCTGCTGGATGGCAAAAGTGCAGGCTCTGGGTACGAGATTGGTGCAGAAGGAACTTCGACAATTTTCATAGACTAAAATTTAACTTAAATGAATTTTTTCAACATAACAAGTATTGAGATTCCAAACCTGGGTTACTTATTGCCCAAGGCTATATTTCTCTGACCTAAAACATTACACTGTAAGCCATGAGAATAGTTTGCTTGAAATGAACCTGAATTTTTGTGGTTGTATATAACAGCATTCATGAATAACCATGCACGTCATGTCATCTATGACGTATGCACATAAGATTATATGCATAATTAATGAGAGGCCATCTGTATGTAAATCAGTGACTCTGTTTTTGTGCATCCATAAATGGAATAAGAATGGGAGATCCTACTCTCAAGGGATGCACCAAAACATGAAAGCAACATGAACATTGTTGTTTAAAAACTGCAATCGGTAATCAGTGCAAAAACCATGTTTYCAGTGGTCATCCTGAATACCTATGGTTTGTGTTCATCTGTAGTACTTCATGATGATTATGAAGCATTCTTTTGCTTGTTTTATAGGAACTGTTGTAAGCAATTATGTGCCACTACATAAAAARGCATTCCTTCTCACACCATCTGTAAGTTCAGTGATGTTATTTAACAAATTGACATTTACAAATTTGGAAGACATTGTCCTTTGACCTCCCCTTATTTCAAGCCCTGCAAAATTCTTTACTATTTAGGGCTTAAAGCAAAGATGGGATGCTTTTAAAAATGGGTTGTGGACTGTGTACAGGTATGTTTTATTATGAATTGACTGCCCTTAAAACTGTAACAGTGTGTCTGACAGGTTCACAGGCTTGAGGGGTATAGAATGGTGTCTCAGAAATTGCGGGGCTCGCCAAAAATTTCCCAAGGCTCGCAAGCTCGGTGATTAAAAGAAAGGGGCTCGGATTTGAATTTGCTTTTTTCTGGGAAAATCGCAATTGACGAAATATCAGACTCGTTCGGCCAAAGGCTCGGGCTCGGATTTTAAAGCGAGGGAGTTGCAGACTCGGTGAGGTTTGGATTTACCATTCAATACCTCTACTTTGTACAATCTCAAATGGTAGGAAAATAATGTTTAAATGCTCTTCTTTGCTTTGATAAAACCATCAGCTTCTATACATGGTGTCAGAAGTGGGATTTGAACCCATGCCTCCATTCAGAGAACAGAACTTGAGTCTGACAACATTTCGTATCCAACCTCTGGCACCACAAGAGGCCGATGATTTTATCGAAGACAAAGAAAAGCATTTATTTTAAACATTTATTGTTCACCATCTTGAGATGGGCCTGCAAACCGTCAGTTACAAAAACCAAACACAAACTTTCAGAAACCAACCATCGTTTACATGTATTTCATGTTTCAATTCAGCTTGGCATTTGTAAAGAAGTATTGCAAGYCTTTCAAACTCAGAGAATTTGCTAAAGAAGCTCAAGAAATTTATATTGATGTAAACAAAGCCCTTATGAGGTAACTYGAGATAATTGTCCATGCATCTTCCTAATGCATGAATTTATTAATTTTTCTTTTTAAATCTCATTTTTATCCAATAGTAAAGACAAGAAGAAATTGGAAGAATTAGCCACTGGATCTGTATACCATGTAAGAATGTGAATTAAAAAGAAATATTTTGATATGCATTTGAAATCAAATCATGCCAAGCCTATGACACAATAGAGACCTTGCCTGCTACATCACCATTTTCTGTACCAATATTGCATTGTCTTTCGCCAGACTCCCCCAAGACATTAAATAGTTTTTATTTAAAWTTGTTTTTCTCTACCAGGCCCTTAAAAAGGAATTTTTCCCAACKAACAAGCAGTTACACTGGAGGTTTGTTCAAGAACTGGATAGGCCTCGKGTTGTCCATGCAAGAGTTGTGCCAGTAGACAGTAAACAAAACTTGTTTGCTCAGCTAACAGTCAAAATCAACTCAGAACAAGTATGTAACCTGCAGCATTGGTCAATGATACATGTATAAAGTTTTAAGCATTCAAAATGTGTCTTCAAATTCATATCCAGATGATGTACATGTATTAATAATGCTGGAAAGACAAAGTGAAAACAACAGTGGTTATATATCAAAATGCTCTTTGATTTTAAAGTGTGACTCTATGGATTGCACAATAGAAAACGATAGAATTAGCATAATTTAACAGTATTTAGTGGTATTTATGTTGCAGTTTTAGTGTTTGCACTCTAACGGCATTAATATACAGCATAATTACAGTATAATATCATTTTATTTCATAGGTCCTGGCTGTGAAAAACCAGTATGGTCATCATTTAAAAGGTAGTGACAAGGTTGCGAAGAAGTTAACAGATTATATCGTATTAGAAAGACACCTTTCTAATCAGTATGGACGGTGGCGCATCTGTGGCAAAGTATTCCAGCCATCACAAGAACCTCAAAGAGTTCAGGAGATACAAGGTTCCACTCAACCATCCACATAACAAAATTGAAATCTTTTTTATACTGTGAAAGGAAATGCTGAATTGACATACAAGATATAGTAATCATGTCTTCCCTCCTTGACATACTGGAATCAGTTTCCTTGACAGTTACCCTATTTTACGTCAACACAGTATGACCAGTAAGCTTCTTGCATTAACAGTATTTAACCTTCCACGTCACATATGAACATCATTTATGGATATCAGAATAATGAAAAGGCATGGTCACCTTTCAAGATGATGGAGGCAACTATGAAGGAGACTATTAGAGCAATAATATATTGTGTGTTTTAAAATTATTTTGAATCAAGATCATTTCCCAAACCTCTGTCTTATTGCAAAAATAAAATGCTTTAAAACAAAACTGCAGAGTACATGTTTTATTGGTATAGATTACAATTACAAGTTCTTATATTCAGGGTATCTATTGTTTTCTTATATTGAGGTTATTGTGTTTTACAATATTGTAGCAGAATACATTCTTTTGGTTACACAAAATAGTTTTGAGAAATRCATTTATTAGTTTTCATCATCTTCTTCTTCCTCTGAGCTCTCCTCCTCGGCATTATTTAGCCACTCAATCATTTTTTTCATCTGTTCAAGAAAGATGCTCTTTCCTTTGGATGAATGGGCAGTGTTATACCACTTGATGATGGAGTCTTCACTGAGAACTTCAGCTGAATAAGATAATATCAATACATTTTAATGTTAAMCTGACAAGAAAGGTCCACTCATGAAAATAACTTATTCATAATGAACAAATAAAAGAMTAAGAAAAGTCATAAAATTATGATGAATGAGCCTCATACATATTTATAACAGCTATATTGAATAAAATGGAAAAACATGGCTTACTTTTGTAGAATAGCAATATTATTTTCTGGAAGACCTTCATGAAGTTCATGTTATCATAGCAGTATTCCTAAATAGACAAAACAAAATGTTATGATAGACCCGCAGTCATTTGCATGAACTGTTTTCTCACATTAATCAATAATAACCAATAACWATTTAATATTATAATGTATAATCACAAACCTGAATCTTCACTAGAAGACTGATCTCTGAGTTTGCAGATGTGGTAAAAGCACCAAAGAGAGAAGAATAAGTCTGTAAAATATAAAAATGCATGTRTAACTAAGCAGTGTAATATTTCTTGCTTGTCAGTAGCATCAAAGCATTGATCTGCRTTTGCAAAACTTTTGTTATGAGGATTCTCACTGAATTTTTGATTAATTTGTTATTGTCCCAAACTCACTTTCAAGTGGCGAAGTGCTTGCTCTGCAACCAGTTCTTCCTTCTTGTTCCACTCTACCTCTCCCATGACTGACTTCCAAATCTACAAAATAACCCATTAATCCTGAACTGATACTGTTGTGTTTTAAACAGCGAATCTTACAATAACAATCTTACAATTCAATGCATGATTTTAGAATGTGCTTACAATGCCCAATACGACCAAAACAAGAGTCCAATGTTTCTTTTGAGATGGATCATTTTTCATTTTTTAGAAGGAAAAAGTGGAGTCTTTTCCAGCTTTTCATGTAYTTAGAAATCTTGGAATTTCTGGATTGAACATTCTTAGCCTATCCCACATGTCCTAGTGCCTTTGGCATTTTATCAAAAAGAAAGTACAGTATTATGACATCACAACATACCAGGAAGACTGCATCAGCTTCATTAATGGATGATCGTTTCATTTCATCCTTTGCATTAATAATGATCTAAAAATTATGAACAGTACGTTAATACATGTGATTCTGAGATGAATGTAGTGTGAGTAAGAATAATCGTATTGCTTATTCCAAAACCCTTCAGTGACTTATACAAAGGTTTCATGAGATGGGTTCAAGCTTTGTTTTGCAATTTTGAGGCTGTGAAAATAGCAATATTCTGCAAAATTGAAAGAGCATTGTTCTTGACTTTGTCTGACAAAGGAGGGACACATGGTACTACTTCCTCTCGTGCCCCTTCCCTTGAAAAGTCCACTCTAGAGTCTTAGAAGCATTTTTCAGATATGTCTTTGATTAAAAAAATATGGTAATTTCAATTAACATCAGGATGAAGAAATTTGTCTGACTGAAATCCCATTTGTTTYACCTTTCTCACTCTACATACTTTTATGCACACTTAAATATTACCTCTTTGACTGGAGTGTCAGACTTCAACATTTCTTTAAGGTTCAACTGAAATGTTTTTCTTGACTCTATGCCCTCCCTTGCTCTCTGCAAAAATGTATTTATTGAAAATTAATATAGTCCTATGTAGGTAGTGTCTAGGTTTAGCCCAAGATAACAACTGCACTTTGTTTAAAAGGTTATAAAGTTGTGAACATCCATTTGCACTAAAACTCACAGTAAGAACTTGATAAAAAATAACAAGATATACAATATTCCCTGGTCACAATATACCTGGAATGAGATAAGTTTGTCCAAACCATGTTCTTGGAAATGCTTCTCAAGATATTCATTGGTTTGCTTGTTTGGAGGAAAGAAGTCCTAACAAAGAAAAGTGTCACAAATGATCATTTCYCTGTTCAATAAATTATAATTAATAACATGGGAGATATAGTGCCCATTTGAAAATAGTGTTTGGTAGCTGACCATCATCATGATGGTTTTTGATTGTTTCTAGTTCTTACCAGGATCTTGTTTTCTAGCTCAGCTTTCTTTAAGGAGCTACTCAGGTGGGAAAAGTCTCGTTCATTTACCCACTCTTTAAAGACTTTGGTCACAAACTGAAGGGCAATCCCTGCGTAAATACGACATGAAAAAGCATTAAAAGCTGCAGACAATAATGCACCATAAACTAATATACTGTCCAGTTTACCTTCTTTAAGAAGCTGCTCATTGAACAAACTGTACAATGCAGTGGCTGGTGCCATGCCTGATATGATAAAAATAATATTAACAGATAGACAATAGCTGTAAATCCAATTTTATTGTTTGTTATAACTTCCATATCACTAATAATCATATAAACTTCAATCTCTAATGTGAAAGACTGAATATGTCACATGTGAAAGAAATAATTATATTATTGGCTTCTCTCACTCCTAAGATATCCAACTGAACACTCAAGTGTATCTTGCATGCATTTTTACATAAGGAACAATCCCTTTGTGTTAAGAATGTAAAATAATACTTCATTTGTGCAGAACTTTARACATACCATTTGCAAGCACAATGGCTGTTGTTATGGCCAGTTTGTTCCTTTGTGCWGGAGTGAATCCCTTGAGGAACAAGAGGATCTGAAAACAACAATATACCATTAATTACATGTAAGTAGAGCAGAGTCACATGAACCATGAAATAAGAACTAAAAAGTACTAACTAATAGGGACTATTAGTTCCTAATAGTCGTTAGCACTGAACCAGAACAGTTGATTTGATCCAATAAGCAATACCCAAGAGACCACTTTAACAATCAAAGTAATCTCTTTGTACTGTTCTGGTTCAGCGATAGTGTCTAAATAGTGCGTATTAGTAACTAAGTATTTAGTTTCTATTTCATGGTTCAAGTGACTCTGCTCTATAATAAGCTATGACTGTAAGAAGAATTTAGTCACAAAACATCAAAATGGTGAAGAGGTTAATACCTTTTTCATTACATCTTCAAATGACTTTTGAAGGTATCTGTAGCGGGCTATCAGTTTGTTCAAGACCTTGAAAGACAGCAAAAATTGACATAAAATATCTTTCACCAGTAACTCCAATCATGAATCGGAATCATATGATCAAGACAATAAACTTGTGATATTTTTTGTCGTCATACTTGCACATGTTTTCTAATGACTTCTGTATTTTCTTCAGCTTCAAATATGCACGCACTAGTTTTCCATGTCTCTGGGTTGCCATCCTCTACAATACTTCCTCCTGGAGCTTTAGTAAATACAATTAGTGTAATTTTTATTGTTAAATACAATAAACGGATATCAATGAATACAATATACCACTGTATTACAGACTTGTGGGTTCATTTATGCCAGACCTATTCAAATGCTTACCTAGAATCCCACCAGCAAAGAGGATATCAAACAGCTGGTCCCCATAAAGCCGATAATTCAGCTTGGCCCCAGAGACATCAAGGAATTTGGCYACCTACACAGAAAAAAGAGCTGTAATACACAATCAAGTGGCAGATGAAAGGCATAAAAGGGAAATTTATATATTATATGTCTTCTGATACCAAGTACAGAATAAATAATACTATATACCTGTTCTAAGTCATTTTGTGTCCCATTTAATCCAGTAACTATGGCATCACGAAAAGCTAAAGGATCTTGCTTCTCTTTCTCGTCTATAAAGATAAACAATAAATTGATTAGCTGATTAATGTCAATTACAAGATTCTTYATTGAACAATAATCTTTTTACTCTTAATTGATTACAGATTATCATAAGAATTGTGTTGATGTGACACAGGCTATCTAGACAGTGTCTCTTTTTTGTACTTGAGGACTTTGAAAAATTGTTTAAGTTTTTTAGATAATATTAATTGTTTTATGCATTTTTAAGGAACAGATTATTTGTGTGGTACAACATATCATCAAGGATATTCATGAATTAACCAATGAACTAAACAAACCATGGCACTGCTCAATATGGATGAACAAATTAATACAGGTAAACTAAATTATTTGCAGTTTTCGTATTGTAATGTTTTTGTTTACCTCTCTTGCGGGTTTTGATCCGCTGACCACTGAGAGTAGGTTTTTGTTGCTTAAGACTCATAAAACAGTTGTCTAAAAAAGATAAATAAATAGAGGTCATAACACAGCATTGGCCAGATAAAYCTAAAGATCTACTGCTTTAAAAGGTGTCACACTTTGCTTAATTAGCGTTTTTCTGCATAAAAAAATGTGATGACATTATGGCTATACATTCCCAGAATGCAGTAGCCACCAAAAATACCAATAATACAGTAACACCTATACTGATTTCCTTATCATTAATGTTGATTTTGTGAATGATATATAGAGAGGTACAAACCGTAGGTCAAATACGCTTTCTCAAAACATAATGTCAAAGCAACCGATCGACAAGCAAAACAGCTATGAGCAGCATTTTCCATACTTGACTCGTGACAAAATATCTVAATAGCATCAAGTAGAAATTCACTAAATTTGAGACATTCCCAAAGAAAATTGCAAAGTTCTTCAATGAAATTGAACATTCATGCTCAAACGCTTTAATAGTATGCTTAAAATCAAGACAATGAATCAGAATAATGCAAATTTTGGCACATGATTTCCGACATGAATGCCTATACCTCCTCAACAACACACTACAAACGCGCAACCTTTCACAATGTAAAAAGCCAATTTCTTCTTGCATAAAACCATCGAAAACCGTAAGTCTTAAATTAGTCTGAATCCTTAAGCTTTACACCAAGAAAATATCTTGTTTTTAGATATGCCTTCTAGCATTTAACATCTATATTTCTCTTTAGACTCCCCATTAAATCCTTTCATGGACTGAAGGGCGAGCGATCGAAATCAAAGGTGTCAACTGGTAAACTCTTTTTATCTTCGCGAAGCCATGACCTGAAAATGAATGCCTGAACAACCAATAACAATATAATTTCGAGAAATCAAAGATTCTACACTTACCCTGTAGCTTCTTTTAGATTCGGTGAAAATCTAATTCAATGTCGACCACTGTCACACAACAGATCGAAGAGTAATAATGAACACGAGGCGGTCGATGCGATCYAAGTTCGAAATTAGGCCTGGGTCTGAGTTAGCACAAAGCATGTTGGGTATGCAAACCACAGGCGTCCCAGCCTTTTCTTTTCCTGTTTATTATTGAAAAATTAAAATGACTGTTATGCCGATACATTGCAAATTTGATAAAAACAACAATAATAAAATGAAAGCTGACCAGCTGATCCCCCGTAGAAGTATCAATTTTTGGCGCTACCGTCATTCCGCGTATTTTTTTCMGCAATTTACTAGAATTTATACAATTTATTATTAGTTACAAATACAGCTTATTTCTAAATAAAAATGCGTAAATAATGATAAGAAAAGAAAATGAAAGAAAATATAGGGAAAAAATAAACTTGATATGCTTGGGCAGCTTTGTCGAARTGAGTCACGTGACATGTTGTAAAACCAACCTGACATAAACAGCAAGATGGCGGACGTGGAGCAACAATTTGAGGCTGCTGTAAATGTGATTCGTTCGATGCCAAAAAAAGGTAGCTTGCACAATCATATCCTAAAGTTTAAACCACATTGTGAGCCAGTAATAGACTTACTTTTTTCCGTTGTTTTTAACATTTTAGGCACTTATCAGCCATCTTATGAGACGATGCTAAAGGTTGGTACGACATAATTTTTGTTGAATAAAATATAAGCTGTGTTTCTTTCGATATCATTCTTAGATTAAAAGCTGTTCATAAGAAAGCATTTGTTTAATCTAATGATGATTTGATTATACCACTAACATCCTTGATTATCACGACGTAAGCATAAATAACTGGCATTTTTAAATAAATTTGAAATAGTTTTATGGCTACTACAAACAAGCTAAAGAGGGGCCATGCAATGAATCAGAACCTGGTTTTTGGAATGTTGTTAAAAAAGCCAAATGGTAAGTCTTCTTGTATATGCAAACATCTTCTGTTAATTGTCCTGCTACAGACTTATTATATTCATGTCAGGTTTGTTTGTTTGTGTGTGTATTTTTTTTTTGTATAAAATTTCACCTCTGTAATATATAGTTTTGAGGCGTATTTTAAGTCAGAGAAGCCCCAAGGAAGAAAGAGCAATGGATAAACTGCGTACATCCCTGTGGATGCTGCTGAACATGCTAAACATTTGAACTCTAAAGCTGGGATGCTCTTCCAAAGTCCACATGTGGGGTCAATGAATACTCTAATAATTATTATATATTTATTACTCACAGTAGATTTGTTAAGTCTGATCTGTTAAGTGTGCATTTTTAGGGGACTGTCAACTRATATACATGTGTTTTTCAGGGATGCATGGTCATCTCTTGGTAATATATCTAAAGTACAGGCAATGGAAAGTTACATTGACGAACTTAAAAAGGTTTGTATCTATGATCCAGTGATTCTAGATTATTGAGTTCCCCTGAAATATGATCATGTCATACACATGTCAGCACTCACAATCTAACTTGCCTAATAAATATTTATATCTCTTCAAGGTTATGGAAACAATGCCAGATACTGAAGAAATGGCTGACTTTAGTGCTATACTTAAATCTTTTTATGATATTGTGTATGCGCCGACTGGGGAAGAGCCTCCTTACATTCTTCGTATCTTTAAGAAATTGGAACCAGAGGGTTWTAAAGTGGAAAAATGTAATGGATATACAGTGGAGAAAATAGCTACAGATCAGCAAGATGGAGACAAAAGGGAAGATATACCACAAGAAGATTTGCAAAGCTCAGATATTCATTTAAATGGACCACATTCAAATGGGCATAATAACACAGAAAATGGTTTACTTCATCATGAAAATGACGACTTAGTTATTATAGACAGCAYGGAAAAAAGTTCATTTTTAAATGGTTCCAGTATTACACAACAAGATACCCCTTATTCACATGATTTAAAAGTAGAACACTCAACAGCCAGTAATTTATACATTGTTGAAGTGGGTTCACAAAAGAAAGGTTTACCAGATGAAGTRAGATTCTCTGATGTTCCTAATAATCAAGGTACATAGATACACACATGTCAATAACAACTATTACACTGATCCTGACATATTCTTTTATAAGGTGTTCCCTTTAACTAGTTTAAACAATGAAGGGTGGCTGCTATTCTTTTTGCAAATCCGCAAAACAAGCCTTAGTATGAGTTACTGCATATATAATAGAATGCAGTGGTAGGAAGCAATAGACATATAACAGCAATGGAGACACACGCAAGMAAACTTGCATTTAATGCAGTCAAATGCRAAATACAACCAGACAAACCACTGAGTGAAAATCAACTGAAAGACTAGCTTGTAATGAAAGCTATTGTGTGATTGTATTTTCATATGAAATATTTTCTTTTCACATTGCTTTTTTACATGTTTGTAGATATAGCTTCACGTCTGATACCTGATTATAATGGAGTAGAAGACAGTAACCATATGGGTTCAGAAAGTGATGACAGTGACGAAGAATTCTGTGACTCTATMGACCCTGAACATTTGTCAATAATCAAGACAGAATCTAGTGAGTTGAATGATGCACCTGATGGTTCACAAACTCACTTCCATAMTGAGCCTACAAATGGTTCTTGTGATCATGACCAATCAGATTGTGAATCAAATGATGATGGCAATGAAGTCTCAAATCATCAAAGACTAACAAGCACTCCATTTCATAAGAAACCTGTTCATGTTACATTCAATACGGAGGAAAAGAAATCAAGTATAAACAAAGAAGGGAGTGGTATCAATCATCATAATGGAGGTATCCTGAAGGTTAAGCAAGCAGGAAGTGGTTATGGTGGTGGGGATGCTAAACAATCATCTAGTAGACAGCGAATGTATGACAGGTTTTCCCAATCAAGACAACAAGCATCAAGAGCGCAAGATGGTAAGATCATGTTTGGCAATAATTACTAAGCGAAAAAAAAAGAAATAAAATAATAATAATGCTAGATATTCCATAGGATCAGTCTAAAGATTGGGATTTTTTTGACTTCTTTGAAGTTAAAAGTTAGAGCTTGTTTGGTTGTTTGTGTGTCATTACTTACTTTAAAATCATATTAATTCTAGACAGAGGAATAACYAGTAGTGAGATGAGACAGGCTTCTGGTACAACAGGACACAGTGACAGTGACAGTGATGACACTAACCACAACTGCGAAAGCTGTGATTCCAGCGGTGAACGGGATGAAAGCAATGAAAGGATTATTGCTGCCTTAGAAAGAATACAACAAGATATGAACAGAGTGTTAAGAAGACTTGAAACAATGGAGGATGTTATGGCTTTAAGACAAGAACAACATTCTGTAAGTTACCCTTAATTTATTAGACTGGAAATCTCAGAAAAATCTAAAATTGTCTGACTATATAATATTACTGACAATAGAGATATAATGTGCATTTTGGGTCTGGTTGCATTCTCTGCACTTACATGTATATCCACACTTTGACTTGTTGTCTCTTGATGTGACTAGAGCAGCATGGGGTGATATGTTGATGATAATGTAGCTTTTAATCTTTTCTAACTTTTCCTGACATTAACATTTAATATACACAGGTTGGTAGATTTCAGAGAAGAGAACAAGAACCCTGGTGGCATCAATTCCTACCCTCCAAGACAGTAGCCTTCCTTGTCCTGTGGCCATTTGTTATAAACCTAATCTTCTATTACATCCGTAAAAGAAAGGTTTGTAWAACATTATTTGTGTGATTAACCAAATACCTTATTAGCTGATATTAAATGAATGACAGAAAACAAATGCTATTTTTTCATTGGATAGAAATGGTAAGTGAGCTATATTKCTCACTTTTTTACTAAACAAACAAATGATTGTCTCATTTGTTTCATCTCATTTTGTCCATTTGTCATAGTACACAATTATGAATATACTTGCACTGTACAAGTCATAATGCTGTAGTCATGTTCCTAAATTTTGTTTTCAGGCACGCAAGTGTTAGTGAACAACACATCACATCCTTAAAAAATGGATAGCTATCATGATAATTTTAAAAATATACATTTTATTTTATTTTTGATTTTTTATGACTGTGTCATTACAGTCGTATTCATTATCCACCAAATGTAAATTATGAATAAGATTAGTTACAAATGTAAAAAATAAAAAATACAATGAAAGTTACAGCTTACCAAGAAACAATTCAAGAASCATATGAGATTTGTGTTTTATTGTCTTTCGTAAAATGAAYTTTGATCAGKACAGCTCCTTTGTTTTCACAATTTGATAGACATCAGTAAAAACATTCGTCAATTCAAATTTTGTCATAAAATTTCATCATAAACTGTTCAATAATACTCTTGCTGTAATTGCAAATACAATTACTTGCTTGTTATAGCTAAATAAATATTCTAGTTTTGAGGTCTTGTTTATACAGSGGTCATAACCTTGGAATCATGTAAAATGTCATTTATTCTGTAAAACCTTAATAAAATTTAAAAAACTCTATGTGCAAAGAAGACAATATATGATTTTATGTGTGATACGAAGCTATGCTGTGGAAAAGAAATTTTCAAACTGGGATATTATTTCACAATGGTTTCATTCTTGCTTGTCATTTTGAAAGAAGGAAACAATTTTYTTGGCTGTTTCATGATCCAAACTGTAGTCCATAAGTTCTTCCTCAGTAGCCATTGCTATGTTTGCAATGGACTGGCACCCATCATGAAGAACTGAGCAATCTTTAAATGTTAGTTAAGAATTAAAGCACAAATGATGATATAGGCTATTATCAAGAAACCTCCCAAATTTGCAGCAGAAGTAATACAATATCATGAAAKAAAAAACATGAAAAGAATGCACAAATAAAGTATAATTAAGTAGGACAATATAGGAAAAGCACCATTGTAGCTTAAATTAGAACTCTGGTAATGAACGTTTCAACCATTTAGCCTTGTTCTGAAATCTGAGTGGAATTAGGATACCRTGCATGTTTAAACCCAGACTGGACAAAATCTGAAGAATGACGCTCTCACTTATTGCTGATGATTGAAGTTTTTGTAGTCTTTCTTTAATTACATCAATGAGTGGCTTGCAGGTTACCTATAAGGGCATTAGTATAAAGGATTTAGGTACATTCTGCTTTTGACTTGGTTAAGTTATGGTGAGACAACCCCAACCTGTTAATACACCCAAGTCAACCACCCACCAACCATCCTAACTCCCACCCTGTGCACCTGGAAATAAAAATATCTTTAGGTAAACTAGCCTTAGTTTCAAGTCATCCAGCGTTTACTCATTAGAAAATAAACCGGATGTACGCAGGGTAAGGTAAAGGCACCTTTTCTATCTTAATGTCACTAATTTATGATTGGTTGCTGTTTTTTTGTAAATCTGACAAATTACCAAAAGGTACAAATATAAAGTGTGTTGTTGTTTTATACCTTGGCTATATTATCCATGCATTGCACACTTTCTATAGAGCTTGAAACTGGGATGAAGTTTAAATGCACTTTTGAAAACCTTCAAAATTTAAAATTTGGATCAGTCTCGGTAGTAAAATGAACAAATAGCAAAAATGGGGGTTCATACTTTCCAACTTGACCCCTAAATAATAAATAAAGGAGCTGGGAACGGACCCGAGCACTGTTCATGGGCGGAGGTAGGGTTCAGTATGATCGTCTATATATCGTCTATAAGCCTATGTACTCGTAGAATATTGATATACGCTTTTTACCTTTCTTGAAGCAAAATAAGTAACTCAAATTGTTGAACTGGCTGCGTATTTAACGATATTATTACGTATCCATGTCTGTGAATTTGGTTGAACTTCTCTAACCTGCGTAAGTTTTAAAATCAAGTAAGTTAAAATATTCAAAATCATCGAATCTGACTGTACTAATACAAAAAGAACATTTCAATCATCATATCAAACCTTTCAACCAAGTTTGCGTTAATAGTCTTGAATCCATCTGTGCTGTCAATAATTTTGCCCGAATTGAGTAAGAAGAAAGCAACCGAAGAAAGAGGGAAAATGATGACGTCCTCTCCTGTGTTTTCGCTTACTTTGACATGTTGAAAGAAAAACTTTCATATAAATAGTGACTAGACTAAAGGTGCTTGATTGAACAGAATGTATGCAGTTTGATTGATCAGCTGGAAACGCTTACATCTAACTTTGTTATTTTTCCCACTACGCAGAAGTCGACAAACCTCACTGTTTGAAAGTGAGATGTTCACAATGACAGGCCACATTTGTTGAGTGTTTGAGGAAATAACAATGTGTTGCTTCGTTTTAGCCGAAAGTGTGCTAGTTTGCTAGTTTCAAGCCGTTTCTAGTACTGCTGCTTGCGCGCAAGAGACAGCTTTCAGAAATGGCGGGAAAAATCGCCTGACCACAGGCGGTCTAACCCGCACTAAAATTCTTACTGACCTTCGTTCCAAAACAGACAATGAAGATCGTGTCCGTGTAATCTTTTTTAGCCTTTTTTACTTTTCATATACTTTTGTTTGTTTTTC